AAGTCATAAACTCTTTACAACCTCATGGACTGCAGCACGCCAGTTTGGCATCAAGCCAGGTCAAATAAAGGCAGCCTTGCAAGTGAAATCTTCCAGTGAACTGCTAGACAGGTGAAGTAATGACAGTTTTCTGGGAATGAGGCTTTGAAAGAGTTCTAACCCCATTCCATCCCCTATGATGGCGGCCAGACTTGGTTTTCAATGCTTCCATTGAACTGGAGAGGGAAAAGTGGGACTAGGGCAAGTTAAAATGTCCCAAAGCTCACTGTTCTCATTCACATTCAGTTATTTTTCTGGAATAAACTTTCCCCAGATTGTTAAAGATGCTTTGTTAATTTCCATAATTCTGAAAGTAGTCGACTGACAATTTTTGCCAGATTTCTCATTCCTTTTATGGAGAGACTGTGGAGGTCCTTACTCTGCCATTTTTATTGATGTCACCAATTTAATGACCCGTTGTGTTTAGACATTCTTTCTGGTAATCTTCAACTTAGAGGGGAAATCAAGGCACAGATACATTAGAGCACATCAGAGCAGTGTGCTCATGATCCTAGCCTACAAACTCATGAAAGAGAGAAGACAATTCCATAATGATTCACTGCAAGGTGATTTGTGGGCTTTTTCACTTGCCTTTAGCCCCAAAGCCTAACATATATACTGAAAATCTTTGATCCCCAGTTCCTTTACCCTGGTCCCCAGAATATCTGGATCTCTTCTCAGTTCATAGATTATCTCACAGACTCGTTTTTATGCTTCCCAGAAACCCCTTCACCAGCTTCTACTCACAGCCTATCTTATAGGTAAGTAACACTGTTTCCTTTCACTTGAGATCTGTTCCCACTGACATTCTGCCAGCAGCCCTGGAGTTATTTCTCCACTGACGTGTACTACTGAAATTCTGACGTGTACTACTGAAATTTATAATCTACTTTGTAAACAAAAGAGAAGATAGAATAGTACTGTGTCTAATACATATCTAAATTATTTAATTGTATTCGCAGTTGCAAGCAGGGGATTTATTTCCTCTGTGGCTTAAATGTGTAGGCTCTTCCTTTACACATGCTTTTTACTTTAACTTTTCCTTTTTTCTGTTGATGCTCTTGTTTCCCCTCTTTAGAGCTTCATCTGTCTCCTCTGGACAGGGGGTCTTTTCTTTCAGACCATCTCTAAATGGTGGGGATTCAGGTCACACAAGAGTCTTCACCCCTAATAATTCAGGTAAGTTAATTTAACATTCCTAAAGAAGTGGCGCTTCAACTATCAACATATATACTAAAATGATGATTTCAAGGTGAAAAGAAGTTTGTTTTTTTTTACATGTTATTCTAGACCCTGGAAAAGCATTGTCTCAAGTTGTACCCCTTAATTTTCTTTAAGACCATTTCCTTCACAGTGAAGGCAGGCTTTGGATTGTGCCTAATTTTCACTCATCTTATCCCAGGAATCAAAGTCTGCTGTAATATTTAGCCAGAAGATTGGTCTATAATATTAAACTGGCTTTTTTTTTTGTCTGTTGCTTTTGAGATCCCTATGTTGGCTCAGTGCTCAATTAAAATGATAAACCAGCATCTTTTTTCTCCTCATGTTTCTAAGATATTTTTGCTACCAGTCCTTGTGATAAGGGTCTGTCATCTTCCATAGTTCACCAAAATCTTGATATTGTCTTTACATCTTTCTCTTCATAGTTAAATTCAAATCTCAGACCTCCATGTCAGTACCCCATCCTCAAAGGAAAATAATGAACTTTATAACTCTTGAGTTACTTAGCTAACAGCCTTTTCTCTTCTGAGTAGTGTACTACAGATTAAGAACCATTTATTTAACCTGATCCATAATTAACAATACTGAGGAAATGCTCTAGGAAGTTATCTTTCATCATTCCATTCCATCCTTAAGGTCAGAGGCAGAACAGAACCACACTGGAGAGCCTTCCTGGTTTCCAGCTACCACTCCTACAGGTGAGCCCTAGCTGGTCTAACTTGTCTGCACATGAAAACCTCAGTTAGGCCTGCACACTAAATGCCTCATTTATCACTAAATGTTAAGGTGATAAAATGTAACAAGTGAAGAGGGAGGTGGATTTCAAGTGTGGTAATCATATGCACACAATTTTTCAGAGTGGTCTTAGTTTCAAAGGTTCTATTCTACTGTCAGATTGGCCTCCTGGTTTGGGGTTTAAAAATTATGTCACACAGTTGTTGTTATGTTTGTTTTTTAAAAGTCTAAAAAAAAAAGTCTATCTTTCGTAGATGCATACTAAAATATTTATAGATAGAAAGTTAAATGATTGTCCTAGTTTTGCTTTAGCTTCATCTAGTCGAGCAGGGTAGTGTGAGGGAGCAGAAATCAAAGAAAATTTGCCATGAGTTAACTGTTGAAGTTGGGTGATGGGTATGTGTGAATTCATTATATTACTGTTTATATATATATATATTAGTTTTTGTATGAAGAGTTATTGAAGAAAGTACCACTTACCCAGAGACATAATTCTGCCTCCCTGGTAATGGTCTCTGGGTATGGTAGTCATGTTCCAGGTTTCCCCAGTTTGATTTCGGAAATATTCTACCTTATCACCATAAACCAACTGAAACATTCCAGTTTCATAAGTAGCGACATAGCCTTTGTCACACTGGACCTATCAAATCTTATAAGTTTTCTTGAAATGAAGAAAACTATGGGGAAGCAACAGCAGTGGTTTACCGTCATGCTAAACTTCATATAATGACTTAAAAGGGCCTTACTTGCCCTTTTTTGTTATAAACGCCTTTAACTGCCTTCCTGTCCTGTGCTGCAATCTCTACCAACAGAAGCAGATGGGATTAGCCAGAGGGAGAGAAGCATGGAACACTCCCAGATAGACCACCTTCAAGGTCTCACCTATGCATACTGCTGAAGGATGGACAGAGGCATCTCATACTCACTTAGGTGTGATGCCCTTGGAAAATGTACCCCTGCCTATGCCCGTTTCATTCTGTACTTTCTCTCAACCTTTACCCTACACACACTGTATTACTTCCTATGAAAGTGATCAGGTCAGTCCTTCAGGAAGATGTTTATTATCTCTCCCACAGGATACAGATAGCTCCTTTATTTCCTGCAACTTGAAACAAAGGTTATAAAAACAGTTCTTGGTATCATTGGGGGGTGGGGTGGGGTGATATACTTATTAACTATGTTTTATTTCTGGATTTCACTTTTTAGCTTTGTATATATTCTCCCATTGTCAGTGTTAACAAGCAATAACTGTTCCTTGGCCTATTATAATTTTTCTACTTCCCTGTTGTTTCCTCTGTATCTAGATCCTGTTAAATATGTTGATTTTCCTTTCTTTCTGTTTGGTAACAGTTGGAGACACAGGCTTGAAGCCCTACTAAAGTATACAGATAATGAAACAAAGGGGATGCCCTTTTATTGCTACTGTAACTCTGTTGATGTCATAAACTCTCAAATGGTGGGATAAGCAAAGAACACTACCACTGAGATCAAACATTTATTCTTCTTTGGGTATTAAGGGGTAGAAATGAAGGATTAACTGGGTGGGCCATAGGCAGGTATACCTCAAGTGAAAATATTGGAAAACTGAAGATAGCATCCGCTAGAGATAAATTAGGTCTTAGGAGTGACCTTGTAGCTGAATAGGATCCCATTACCCTTTCTGAAACTGAACTTATTTTTAAAGGCATTTCTAGACTTCCCCTCTTCTGAGAGAGAGCCTACGCTGTAGCAGGTGCAGAAAGCAATCGGCCTAGTAATAGGTACTGATCTATTTCAAGTTTTGTTTATTTACTTTACCTCAGTATATCCTGCTGCTTTGAAAATAAAAAGTATGCTAAATCAGAAAGTGGATGGATTTGGTTCCATTAATCTTTAAACCAGAGAAGTGGCGAAGTGGAGAGAGAAACAATTTTATTTTTGGCCTTTTTATTATTAGTCTAGCAATTTGGGGCTTCCACTCTTTTATTTCTAGATGGTTAACCCACCGATATCTTTATATCTGACCCCAACGGATGAAAACCACTCTAAAACATAAGGACTTCTGTCCCCAAGACAGATATTATAAACAGGGGGTAAAGTCTCTTTTCTGGACACAAATTAAACCAACACCAAAAAGATTAAAAAATCAGTTTCTGTCAAACTAGGCAGGAGGGAGTGTCAGGTTTGTAAAACCAAACCTGGAATCTATCTGTACTGTCCTTCCGAACAGCAGATACCATTCCCTCTCCTCTACCCCTCTGTAATCTATAATTCTACTTTTTTAAAAGGACATCTCCCCTAATTCCCACCTCCAATAAATATCCAGTCTAAATTATTCTCCACCCAATTATTAAACTTTTTCACAAGCTCCGGGGGGAAGATTTACCCTGAGACAAACAGTGAACAGAATGGGGATTTTTGGAAAGGTACAAGGCATAGTGGTCCCAGTATCAGAAATGAAAACATTCTGCTCCCTGTGTGATTCAATAAAGCAGCAGGAAAACATATAAAGTCAAGCTGGTATGAGGAGAGGAAGTATTTGTGATTGACTGGGACATAACTGAGATTCTTAGCTGCATTATGCATGAACTTGTGCTCAGAGAGAAATGGGGTGCAAGGCAGCCTTATATTCAGGGAAAATGTTGGGACTGGGGTCATATTAGAAACTTTACTCCTTTCCAGAACTCCATGGCCGTGGGCCAAAGCCTCGCCTCTTTGTAGAACAGTAAGGGGAAAGAACAGGGATACGAGAAGAGCAAGCGCCTTTTCCCAGACCCGTAGCAAGCCCCTCATTGAGACTGGAGGCCTAGATTTCTGCCCATCCGATCCCCACTTCATTCTGTACTCCATGGTCATCCTTTCTGGTCTACCCTTACTGTATCCCTGTCCCCCACACTCAAGAACACAAAGCTTTTCAGTTCTTTGCCACAAGGTAAGTTAAAAAAAAAAATGTGGTTTCTTTGTTGAAACAGTTACTAAGTTGGTTTGTCTTTTAGTAACAGACCTCCCCTCCCCCAGCCTCCCACTCAGTCCTGGATGATCACATCATCGTCATCATCGTCATCCTCCTCCTCCTCCTCTTCATCCTCATCATCTTCTGGCAGTTCCTCCTCCTCCTCTTCCTCCTCTTCATCTAGACAGACCACCACTTCAGCTGGCTCAGGTAATCGGGAGTCAAACCAATCCAGTACCTGCTGGGTGCTAAGCCTTGATGCCTGACTCAGTTGAGGGATATCACTTTCCCGGAGCTGTTGGTGGGTTGCCCAGTACCTCTCCAAGGGTCGTATATCCGGTGGGGGCGGGGGATTTGGCAGAGGTGGTGTCTCAGCCCATTCATTCAAGGAGCGGGTTGAAGGTGGTGGTGTGGGAGCTGCTGGATCCTGGAAGCTAGGGGCACCAGGTACTGCATTGTCCCGAAACCATTTTAGTTGCCCATGCTTCAAGGCATAGCGTGTGTCACCAAACCACTGAATAATCTCAGGCCGAGGTAAACCAGTGATCTGCTCTAATTTATGGTAATCCTCACGCCGTGCCCACTGGCACTGTAGAAAAAACGATTTGAGGATAGCCAACTGCTCTTTGGTTTTGCGCTTGGTCTTTCGCTGGCGTTGCATGTCTGGGGAAAGATACTCTGCAGGGCCAACCCTACCTGATGCTGAGTTATGCCTCAGCCCCTGGGGGCAGGCTGGCTCCAGCTGTGGGGGTAGTGCCTGTTCACTGGGTGACAGTGGTTGTGGGGCACAGCCCAGTGGCTGCAGGGGCTTAGAGGTGGCCGGAGCTCCATTAGCCAGTCCCTGGAAAGAGGAAGAAGAGGTAGAGGAAGGAGGAGTCATATTAGATGCTGACTCCTTCTTACAACTACTGGCAAGTAATGAGATGGGTGGGGGCTTATCCCGAGCATGGGGCTGCTGGACAGCTGTGGAGTGGTTCCAGGAAGCAGTACCTAGGCTGTGTGACTGGTCGGGACCCCTGCCTGCCTGCTCCTTAGAGAGGCCACTGCATTGATGATCCTGCCAAAATTGCGATTGGTGGGGGAATGCCCCACTGCCAGGCACCATCAGGGGCTCCTTTGCTTTCTGGTGACCCAGTGGCTCCTCAGGCTCTACCTTCAATCCTTTCATCTGGGTGGGCTCGCTAAGAGTCAGGGGCACTATTCCAAGACCAACTTGTTCCGGAGGTGGCACAGGAGAAGGAGGCACTTCCTCTGGGGGCCGCCCTGCATGATGAGTAAAAGAGAGAAGGGATTTGAAATGGAGTTGGTCCCGATGGTAGACTACTCGGGCTCGAGTCTCTTCAATTTCTTCAGATGACCAACTAATGCCACAGCGAAGGCGCTGGGCCATGAACCAAGTCTTGACTTTCTCCATCTGCAGCCCATAGCGTAGGCAAAGAAGGGCAATGTCTGCTAAACTGGGATAGGGGAAGTAGCTGAAGGTTTGGAGCAAGTGTTCATTGCTGTCCAGCTCACTGGTCTGGGCTGCTTGGGTCCACACAAGCTGTAGCTCCTCAGAGATTGGAGGGAGGCAGATGAGGCCCGCAGGGGAGCTATTAAGACTGCTGGCCTCTTTATTAGGAGGCATGGTGCTTTCTGATTTGTGCCCTTCAGAGATAGCTGTAATAAGAAGAGAAACAGCTCAATCACTGGGGTTCCCCTTTCAGGCCATTGCTCAATTTCTACCAAACAAAACGCTGGACTCCAAAAACAATTTTCTATGTGTACTGTGCTGGATTGCTTTTAAAGTGCTTAACAATTTCTCAATTTTCATAACCTTATAAATAATCAGAGCCTGCTATAATTCCCCCTGGGTATGAAAAAACCAAAGTCCAGAGAAGTTAAATTATTCCAAGTCACAAAACCTAGTGAGTGTTGTCACCAGGATAATAATCTGACTTCTGAGGTTAAAAAAAAGGAAAACATCCTTAGAGCCTTTATCTTTCCCATTCAAATTCACCCTCTAAGTTCATGCAGCAAGAGTGACAGAATGAAGACTCACCTAGAAACCCAAAGAGATGTATGTAATCTCAGAACACTTTAGCTCCTAACAGATTATTTCTTGAGTTATCTCTAGATTCTCTCTAGAATGTGGAAAGATTAGGAATACAATTTGTGACAATCTAGAAGGTAGAGAAGGTAGAACACAGCACTGTCCCTCTACCCAGCTCCCTTTTCTTTTCTTCTTGGTGGGAGTGTTGGGGGAAGGTGATTGATAGTTTTATTTTTTTCTAAGTCTCAGTAGGATGAGATGGGTCAGTGATCTGGGATGAATGGAGTTCCCCTTGGATTTGGTCCGGAGAGGGTAGAGGGAGGTGAATGTTTCCTTCCCCAAGACATCCACAGAACAAAGGTTATTCCCCTCTTCCCCAGCCTTTGTCTCTTCCAACTGCTGAGTCTCTCTCCAGGGAGCCTAGAGAGCTCCCTCAGACCTTAATAGCCGCCCCCCCCCCCCCCACACACACACACAGGGCGGGAGCCCTGCAGCTCTTATCTCTTGAGTCCAGCTTTCTTCTTGGAATCAGGTGGGCAGGCTCATTATAAACTGTCCTGCAAGCTACCCAGTGGCACCAGGGCTCCCAGGCTCAACATGGGTGTGGGGACCGCAGAGACAGCCTCTGACTATGCTTCATTCCTGGAAACCTGCCCAAGCTGTTTCCCAGAATAATTCTGGGCCCCAATTTTTTTTTTTGCGACGTGGCTTGTGGGGATCTTAGTTCCTCAACCAGGGATTGAACCCATGCCCCCTGCATTGGAAGTGCTGAGTCCTAACCACTGGGCCACCAGGGACTTCCCTGGTGACAGAGTTTTAACTCGACTCCCTGTTAAATGTTCCCTGTGTGGGCATTAGAGACTAACATTATCTGTCACCCTTTACTTTTCGAGGACTCCCATCTGAGTTTACAAATAGTCCTTCTAATACATTACAGAGAAGACAGCATGCCTATGTAAAAGTTACAGGTAGAGCAGTGTAATATTGGAAATTTTATATGATGAACAGAAAAATTTGGCAGCATTATGATGCATGTCCCTTTTAACAAGAAAATCTTAAACTGAAGGCCATGCAGACCGTGAATGCAATGCAGCGTGAGAACCTTCAGAGGGTAAGTGGAGGCAGCATGGCATAGTGGATACGAATGTGATTAAGGCCCGCATTACATAGGAAGTTTGAATCCCAGTTCTGTCTGAGCTTACAGGACCCTCAGTTTCCTCATGTGTAAAACTGAAGATAATGTTGAGTGTATGTAAAGTTATATGTTTTTACAGAGCACCTACTGTGTGCTCGGTGTCGTATAGGCGGGGCCTAGAGCTGTTAGAGGTAGAGGCCTGGGGTGAGACAGTTCTGAGAGGAATCACAGCTTCACCACTCCCGAGAGTGCTCGCTAAGCCTTAGTTTCCCATCAGAATAAAAGGTCATAACAGTATCTACCTTGTAAGGTTATGACTAAAAAAATGCAACTGATATGATGCCTATACTAAAGGCTCAATAAATTAGACTTTTTGTCATTGCTTCAGCCTCATGGGATGACTCTGATATAAGGTAATGCTCCTCCTAGACAACAGGGGAAGTGAGACAAAGATGGAATATTTTAAATTACTGTATCCAATCTGTTATTGCAGAGTCCTAATTCTAATGAACAATGGGGGCAACCAGGGTGTCTGATTTTGTACTTTTTATATTTGGGGAGTTGGATATAATTCCAGAAAGGATTTTGCTGCTTTTTAAAAAAGTATCAAAATGACTGCTTTAGAACTGAATCTATAATTTAGGTATAAATCCTTTTTGATTGCTGCTACCCAACAGGTTCCTCTCAAGACACAGCTGAGTGGCTGTGAGGAAGTGCCTACGTGGCCAGGTACTTAAAACCACCATTTGGAAGTTGTGGCCCACCAGGAACACCACCACATCTAAACTGGAGAATACTTGATCCAATGCTCGACACCCACTCAACCTTATTTGTGCCCTGGTTTTTTAAGGTCACGGTAACAGTTTAGATGTGAGGAAAAGGTAGCACAAGGAATAAAGCAGTCCAGTGTGAGGATGAAGACTGCTAGGTAGGGAATAAGGCAGGTGCAGCTATAAGCCTACAAGGAAACAGGTTGCTTTCATTCGTGTGGTCTGCTATCCTTAAGATTCTCATGGCTTGATAGTTCAGTGTAACAGTACTGCAAAGGTCGTATTTGGTGTACTGCATATATCCACATTTCTTCAATAACACAAAACACAAGTTGTGGAAGACTTTTTGATACAGAATGGTGCCTTAAAATTAGGACACAGCAGTAGAGCTGGTGCCCCCTGGAAGAATCTGGCTTTGACATAGGGGGGAACTAGAACCAGGGAGTGGCTCATGAGAACTATGACAAGGAGGGTAGATCCTACAGTAACCAAAACCACAGTGAAGACACTATAGCACCTTGTGACCTTGTGCCTCATTTGGAGAAAGTAGAAAAAGAATGAAATCAGAGCTGGAGAAATAATTATTCCTTTGGGCAGAGGTGTCAGTGGTGGTGGTACTATCAATTCTGAATTTACTAAATTTGTAACCATGCCAGATATGCCCTGCTGCTGCTTAAAAGTCACTAATAAGAAGTACAGAGTCAGGGTAACACCCTTATTTCCCTTTGGGCTTTTCCATACCCCTGGACAAAAGGCAGAAAAGAATTAATGGGCTGCCTTAAACTTCCAGTGTAGGTGTTCACACGAGGCTAGGAGAAAGAGATCTTCAGAACTTGAGCCTAGGCTGGGAATTTCCTGGTGGTCCAGTGGGTAGGACTCCACACTTCCATTGCAAGGGGCATGAGTGTGATCCCCTGGTCAGGAGACTAAGATCCCACATGCGGCATGGTGTGGCCAAAAACAAAAATCTTCAGCCTAGGCTTATGGTTAAAACAGGTGACAGTTCAAGTGAAGACCAGATATGAGCCTGCTAAATTCCCTAAGTCTTTATTCAGAGAACTGAAGAGTTTCTAAATGAAATGTGTTTTGGTTATTGTTTTCAGGGCCTTAAAGGACATTTAGTGATACTCAATTCATGTGCTTCTCACTTTTTGGATCATGAATCTCTTTGAAAATAAGAAGTTAAAGGTTCTCAGAAAGTTGTGACTTACCTCGCACCAACCCCCCCCCCCCCAACATTCAAACTTACAGATGATAAATTATAATCTCAGGGAGTTCACCGATTGTCCAGAAGCCCCTGTTAGAAACTCTGTCCTATGTCCTCCCAACTTAACAAAGGCAATGGTTGTAGCTGCTTTAAGAAAACAGTTTATGAATGAATGGTACGAGTGGTTGGAAGGCTGAAAGAGAATGTAAATTAGTTTAGAAGGGACTAGGTACTAGTGCTATTAGCTGAACAGAGTAGAAGCGAAAGATGTTCAGTTGGCCCAGGGGCTTGGTTTAACTGACCCCCACTGGATGACATAATCAATACCCACAGTGCACTGGACACTAGAGGCTGGTAGCCTAGTCTAGCATGGCAGTCATCTGCTTCCTTCAGCTGCCCTATGTGCTGCGGCCAGTTGTGTGTGATTCCAAACCTGCTTATGCCCCTTGTTTTTCTCTATATAATTAAACATTCTGTAAACCTATGAAAATTAGTGCATTAAGAATTGTTTTTGGGAAAAAAAAAAAGTCAAATGCTTTGGAAAGACATAATACAAAGAAATGCACATTTAAAAAAAATTGTTGAGTTGGGAGTAGGCAAGAAAACTGTAAAAGACTGGAGGGGCAGGAGACTTTAAAATCTCAGAAGTATTCTGCACTCACATTGCTTCAAAAGTGTTTAAATTCAGACTCCACTTTAAAGAAACCAAACCTGGAAATCACAGATGATGATGCAGTGGCTCCAGTCTGACTGCACATTAGAAAAATTACCGGGGGAAACAACCCACAGCATCCACCTCCTCCTTCTGACTTAGTTAGCCTGGATTGGGGCAGATGTAAGCAGTTTTAAAAAGTTCTCAGGGTGCAGCCAGATTAGAGATTTGCTTATGTAGTTGATATTAGAAAGACAATTGGGACTGCCAATCAGCAACACAAAGAAAACGCTGGGACACTTACCCAAGAAATTGGTGAGATGAATACTTTTAATGACAATGCTTAGGATATGTATGCATCAATTAAAAAATTCCTAACTTTAACTAGCTTACTTTTAATTACTGCTACCTACCTATCCTCAGCATAAAAAGCCCTTCAAATATATGGTGAGAAGAGGGTTCATATAAAATATATCATCTGGGTCCACATTACCAAATAGGTCTCAGCTTGAGTCTTCTTTCAGTTTAGAGGTCTCTGATTAGAGAGACTGGCAACACCAGGAACCTCTGAGAACTCAGGTTCTCACTTTTCTGGTTGGTTTTCTGAGTATGGCTGGGCAGGGGTGAGAAGGGGCAGTTTCTCTCAAATCTTTCATTCCCAAAGGCCATGCACCCCAGGAATAAGGCCAGGTTTCTGTACGTGTGTTGAAGTCGCCAGGAGGCAGTCATGGAGGGGAGGAGGGGAGGCCTGGGAAGGAAACGTTTCTCCTATCCTCCATTTCGCAGGCAGTCTAGAAGGCTCCAAACTGGGTCAGAGAACAAAAAGTTGCTGCACTTGGGGCGATGAGCCCCAGGGAGCAGGCAAATCTCAACCCTCCCCTCGCCAAGGGCGTCCCAACCCGGCCTTCCCTTCCTCCTACACACCCACTCACCCTCCCCCAGTTAAAACAGGGAACCGAAAAGTCCTGAGGAGAATGGAGAGAGAACCGGACCACTTCGAACCTAGAATTCTCCTCCTCCCCCCAGCGCGGAGATGGGGCTCCGGAGGTCGGAGATCGTAACAGGGACTGGAAAGGGAAGTCGAAAGGGCTGGGGATCACTCACCGCAGTCCAGCCCGGGCGGCGGCTCCCAGCCTCGCACCATGGGCCGGGGGGAAAGGGGGAGAAAGGGCAGGGGGCCTCCGGGGTGAGAGTGGGGTTGCTGCCCGGCGCGGCCTGCTCCGAGCCCACCCGCGCGGAAGGCCAGGACAGGGACTGCCCCCCCGCCCCCGAGAGCGCGCCCGTCTAGCCCAGCCCTGCTCCAGCGAGTTGGAGGCGGGGCGGATGGGTGGGGTGGACTCCAGGGGTGGTGCCAAGGTGGCCGGAGTTCTGATTGGTGGGCGCAGGCAGGCGGGCCCTTGCGGAACGGGCTGGGCCGGCCATTGGCTGAGTGGGTCTCGGCTGAAGTCGGCTATTGGCTGCGTGGGCCTCAGCCGGGATGCCGATTGGCTACATTGGTCAGGGAAGATGTCCCCCCGGGCTAGGATGCCGTGAACAGTACCCCCTCCCACCCTCGCCTTGTGGGCGCCGGATCTTGGGGGTACACTGGGCAATGTTCCTCCTGGAATTCCCCAAGAAATTCAAAGCAGTTTGCTGAACTGTCCAAACCGCCTACAACTACTCCCCATTTGTTTCCTCCGGAAGGAAGACGTTTTCAGTATCCCTTTGCCAGCCTCGTACAAGAAGACAAGCGTTCCCAGCCTAGGGTCAGACCGCCGTCAGCAGCGTCAACTGTAAACGAAGCGCCTAGAGCAACCGTTAACTTGTTCTCCAGATGGATCAAGTGTCTTGGCCACCCAGAAAAATGAGGATCCTATCAGCCTGGCACCTTCCGCCGCTTCCCGGGTTCAGTTGTCACCAGACAGGTGTTCTCAAAGATGAAGTTCTAGAGGGGGTCACTTCATTAGGTCTTGCCAGGCTCCCCAGGCCCTTCCTCTGCCCTAGTAGAGACTGCCTGGAGCTGTGCCTCATGTTGGGGGGGGGGCTTGGTTTTGCTGTCAAGAAAGGGATTAAAATAAAAGTGCTTCCCACCGACTCAGTATTCCACACACTCCAAAATTCTGGGCCAAAAGTTTGTATAGTTAGGATTCTTAGTTTTCTGACCAAAACTTGGGAACAATACTTTATGAAGTGACCCTTCTCATGATAGTCTTCTCTTGTTTATTTAGGTCACAATAGCTTATATACTTACAATAACTTATAAAACAGTTTCAGACGGGTGCCCTGTATTCCACAATTTTGCCACTCCATATACCCCCTAAAAAGTCAACCGTAACTGATACTTCTGATTCTTTATTGCTCCACACTAAGGTCTAGAGCTCTTTAAAGGTTGCCAAGCATGAGAAATGTATCTCTAATTCAGCTTTTTCTGTTGACTCTGCATTTGCCCCTTCCTCCCTTCTCTCAATACATTTGGTAACAATCCCAACTCCTAAGGGCCATGCCCTTCAAACTAGTATCCCTTAAAAACATGATAGGAGTAAGCAACAGAAATAATCTTCTCAGCTTTAGAGTTAGAAACTTTTGATCACTTAGGATTTAAGCCAAGACCGGTGCTATATACAGACCTAACTCAAGACTTATTATAATAATCCTAATGGTTTGTATGTAAGGAAGAAAGGGAAAAGCGAAACATTTTAGGCAGTGACAACCCTCAGCTGTCAATGGAGAGCTCATTCTTTTAATCCAAACAATGAGGCTGGATATTGACTGGGAAGAACTCAGTTTGGCTAGAAAGCCAGGCAGGAACTGTGAAAATTTAGTGGCTGCTCTTGGGGGGTTAAGTCAGTCCTTCTGGGCATCACAGATCATGGGCTGGGAATTATGAAATGTAGACAACTCAGTCACATTTGTCTCAGAATGATACACACTCCCAAGTCAGGAGTATGCAGAAGAGTCAAAGACTCAAGATTTAAGAGAAGAAAGAAATCCAAGGAAAGAAATTCCTGTGCCCTGGTTCTGGAAAGCAGCTGAAGACTTCCTCTTTTATGTGGGTTTCACCCTTACACTTAAGATGATGGAGTGGACTGAAGTAGGGGAGTGGAAGAGAGGAATAGGTCCAGACTTGACATTATCAGAGAAGGAAGTTAGCGAGTCAGTGATCATCCCAGCTCTCCCAGGAACTAGTGCTGAAGAATCCACGCCATTCTCAATCTTTAGTGAAAACTCCCTCCCCCTTTGCATGGCTCAGTAACATTAGCAGGACTGACCAGATACACAATTACCCAATAGCTAAGGAAGCTGGAGGAAGTTAAGAGTCCTCTCTTGCATAGATCTCTTCCAAAGCACTGGAAGAGTCTCAGCAATGTGCTAATAGGTTTTTGTAGAATTAAAAAAAAAAAAAATTCAAAAAAAAAAAATTCAAACTGCAGTTGGTCAAGATCGATGTCTCTTTCTGACTTCCCCTCTATTACCCTTCTCTTTTTGTCCAATGGCAATGAAGAGGCCATGGGCATTTAGGGATTCACTAATCAAGTTGAGTTGGGAATACATTTAGTTTGGGTTTAGGACTTACACATCTGTGGTTTGCAGTTACTTCTTTGAACAGTTATTAGTATTTATAATGTTATGGGCTGAACTGTGTCCCCCTAAAATTCCTGTTAAAGCCCTAACTCCCAGTATCTCAGAATGTAACCATATTGGGAAATAAGGTCTATTCAGAGGTAATTAAAATAAGGTCTTTAGAGTAAGTCAATTCAGTATAACTGCTATCCTTATAATAAGATGGAATTTGGATGCAGACATGCAGGTAGGACAGACCATATGAAGACATAGGGATAAGATGGTTATCCACAAGCCAAGAGAAAGGAACCTCAGAATGAAATCAACCCTGCCAACGTCTGGATCTCAGGCTTCTAGTCTCCAAACCGTGAGAAAATTTCCATATTATAAGCTACCCAGTGTAAGTATTTTGTTATGGCAGCTCTAACAAACTAATATACAGCTTCCAGGAATACTACTAATGTCAACAATTCAGAGTTATGTTATTCATTATTACAAAATTTGAAAATGCTCCAAAATCTTACACCACATCTACTAAAGAAATTTGGTAGGGTTTTCCCAAGTTTGACAAAAATCCCACCCCCCAATTATGTGAACATTATGACTTACAAGGTATGAAGGTGAAATGTTTTTAAATTATCCAAAAAATTTATTTAAAAAGTGATTATGGTGATGGAATTACCTCTTTATGGAAAAATTATATGTAATCATATTAAAAGACTGATATCAAAGAGTGTGCAGCCAAAAACAAAATTGTAGGAAAAAACATTTAGGTTTGCCACATTTTTTCTTGGATTTTGTGATCTTTTATCAGCTTTTTAAATATTATAATTTTTCTATTTTTTCTCATCCTGAAATATATTCACTCTTTTGTGCCTTGTGTATTTATTTTTCTTGAAAAAAGTTGTGTGCTTCAGACAACCAAAAACTTGGATCTATCCCTGGGAATGAAATGGATATGGTGAGTTTCTGCCCCATTTAGGGAAACCCTGCTCTAGTGTTCTATGCTCTTTCCTGAGAAACACTGGAGGGGAGGGCTGACCAATCACAGCTGCCAAGTATGGAGGACTTAGGATAGCAAAAGCTGCAATAAAGGAGTTTGCAGAAAAAGATTTCAGACAAACCTATTACCAAACTAAGACGTGACAAGTTTGGAAAGACATTAGGGCCATGGAGCAACCCTAGGCAATAAGCCATGGAGGGAACCCCCGGAAAGCCCTCAGTTACCTCTCCTTGGGTGTCTGCTCCTCATGCTGATTCTACCCTTCAGCATATCTGGTTTCAGTTACAGTGTGTACTAAAGAGTAGGTACTCTGCAGTGACATCACAACTTGGCCATTATGATGTAATGACATAGCATCTGATTATTCTAGGGCTAGGGCTTCCCTATAAGGAATGTCCTTTCATTACTTTGAGGGTAATTTGACTCTTTCATCATTCAGGTGATGTGGGAGTCAATACTATTTTAGAACTCAGTCTTTTTCAAGATTACTTCTCTTTAATATCTGTCACTTCAAAAAGAAAAAATATCTGTCACTTCATTTTGTATTAGACAAAGGTCCTTGCTTTTCCTCTCCATCATGCTTTTGTTCTTTGTTTTAGGGTTGCCCTTGACAATGGGGCTTTGATCTTCCCTCCACTGACTAAGGAGCAGAATGTAATTTAGATGATCCCTTAAGAAGAGCACCCCACCAACGGGGAAAACTTTTACCTGAGCTATTCTCTTTAATTGCAGCGGCAACTGGTTCTGGGTGCAGGGTAGAGGGGAGCTAAGTGCCAGGCCTGGTAACTTTCCCTACTACTGCCCCAAATGGTAGTGTTATACAGTAAGGCTGTCTCGTAACAGGGTCACCCAGCTCCTCCATTATCTCCTTCCCATCTCAAGCAATGAGATGGCCAAGCAATGAGGGGTGAGAGGGAAGAAGAAATCTTGCCTCTGGGTCTCTTGCTACCCTCAGCCCCCCAAAAATACTACTTCTCAACATCTTATACTTTATTTTCAAATTTCAAATTTATTTCAAAGATGAGGTCTTCGATCCAAAAGGGAGGGCAGTTGCATGAGGAAGCTGAAATGAGGCACAATACCAGCAGGTATGGGGTCCAGAGAACCAAGCTACACTGTGAAGGGGGTGGGGAGGTTCAGGGAGGGTCTGATGAGAACAGTGGTTTGGGGGGATTCACAGAACACACTTTTATTTCCTCTCTAGGTTAGCTATTCAATGGGTAGATTATTCAGTTGTTTGTTTTAGCAACTTCACTGTTCTTCAGCAACATCACTGAAGCAAGTGCCAAGGCTGACATACTAGTCCCTTTTGTTTCTCTTTCTGCCTGAATGCAGTAGGGAATGGAAACTAGAAGCAGAAAATGAAACACTTCTGATGTATCCCTTGCCAAGAAAAATCATGGGTCTGTTCCTGTGGAGAGAGGACTCTTTGGTAGCCTGGGAATATGATGTGGTCAGGAGGCTTGGATTTAAGTCCCATCTGCAGTTGTACTAACAAATTCTCTGACCCTGCTGGGGTCCCTTCTAATCTCTGGACCTGTGTCCTCATCTCTAGAGGAATATAGACCCAATGATCTCCAAAGACAAGCCTTTTCAGGTCTCTGAATTCTGTGATCTATGGATTGCCAAGATCCAGAGGAGCTCCAGAAAAACACAGGAGTTAGAAGAAAGGGAATGTAGGATGAGATTGGAAAGCTGAGTTAGGGCTTATTAAGAAGAGAAATGATGAGCTACATTCATAAAGGAAAACAAAGGAACAGGAAGAGTATGTAGGAAGGACATCTGAGGTCTGGATGAGAGGAAAGGGCAAAAGTGTTCCTGCTGTGTTGCTTCAAGGACCCAGCCTGTGACCATGGTACTGGTTTCTCATATGGCACTTCCCAGTCCATGACTGACAGGTTATACCCTGAACTGTTCCTGTTTGGTCAGGAAGTCCTGTGCTTAACACATGACACACCTCTAAAGATTCTGCCAAATTTCAAGTGTTTCTCATGTCAGATTTGACTAGCAGCTTACCACCTTCCCACCACTACCCTGGGGCAACTCTGTATGGAAAACCCACAGGACTCATGTCTTGGCTCTGGAAAGTTGAGAACAGAGGAATGGGTGAGCAATGGTAATTCTTAGGGATAAAGCCCAAGAACAATGAATTCTCCTTGGTTCCCTGCCCCCAAATCCATTTGCATTTATCCCCTTAGTATTACTCGGGCTCCAGGAGACCGATCATCCAGCAGACCATCCAGCAATTAGCCTATTCATGAATCCTTTCAGTGCAAATTTTAGGCAACCGGGCAGTTCAAGGCTAGTAGGGGGGTGGGGGGTAGGGTAGGAAGGCGTGCAGCACGCCAACAGGTGTGGACTAAAACTACCTAGGGCCGAAAGAGAATCCCACTGTATGTGAAGGCTGGAGTTCACATGGGTTCCTAAATTCTCCAGCAGGCAGGTGAAGTGGTTCCTTGCTGATCCAGAGCTGGGACAGGGTCACAGAAAGCAGCAGCAAGCTTCTGGAAGGAGCAGACGAAGCCTGGGACCCTCAGTGCTTTGCCTTTCCCAAGCCAGTTAGGGAGGCTGGGAAGGCAGAGCACAATTAGAAACTCGTCTTTTCCTAGTACGAGATGTGGCAAGGGTTTCTGTTTTTTGTTTTTTTTTTTAAAGGCAAGGTTTTAATTTTGTTTTTAAAGGAAAATATTATGACATCATGCTTATACACAGAGGCTCTGGAGATCTCCTGCATTCACAACCCTAGCTCTGCCATTTACTAGTTGTGTGATCTTGAATAAATTACTGAGCTTTTCTGAACTGTTTTCTCTCTAAAACAAGAATAACATTACTCAATTCATAGGGTTGTTTTCAGGATTATAATGCATGCAAGGCACCAGATTTTAGTGTATAGATAAGTAAATGTGGGCTCTTGAGATTGCTAAATACAAGATAACAGTCATACATACACATTAAGCAAGAGATTACACATTGAGCCTTTGACCCCGTCTCCCACTCCATTATCCTCCCCTGGGCTCTTCATTGGTGACTAAAAAGTGCATTGCTTGGTGGCTTCCAGTACACTTTCTCTCTTCACTCTGCTGGGACCCTGACCTGAAGGTGATCCACAAGATACATGAAATTCTTTGTTATCAGATAAGGATAACATTTAAATGGGCATTAGAGTGACTTGGGGTTTCTCTTTTAACCTTTTTTTTCTTTAAAGAATTAGGGTTTTGGAGAGGAGGGGCACAATAAACAAGCCCTATACTCTATTCTGAATGCATGTATGGGCATGTGTGCGTCTACCTTCTTTCACTGATGGTAAAAGGGGAATCCAAAAATTTTTGAGAAATCAGTAACAGAAAGAAATGGGTTTGGGGAGCTGGTTACCTGGGAGCTCCATGTTCATCTGCAGCATCAGGAACTGCTTCTTCTCCCTTCTAGAAGACTGTCAAGAAGGAGCCTGAGAGAGCAAAGTGGACCAACCATGGTCTTGGAGAAAAGGAACCTCTTCTGGAGGGAGAAGGAATAGCAGAGATCAACAAGGATGAAGAGGGAGGCAGATGGAGAGGAAATGAAGGTAAATACCCTACATGCTAAAAGAAAATGAAAATGGTGAGAGGGGCAGAAGGAAAGAGAACTTAGAAACAGGGTGGAAAAAAAAAAAAAAGAAAGAAAGAAACAGAGTGAAAGGAGAGGAAAAACAAACACCCAGCAGAGGTTAACCAGGAGACATAAAGCATGAATGTGAATGGGTAGGAGTCCAGCTTTCCCATTCACTTGCTCAGGGTATGGAACAGACTGCTATCTTCTGGCACCATTTAATTTTCAAGCTGCTCTGCTTCTTTATTTGAAAAGTTTTCCATTTCTTATACCAATAATCCTTTAACCTCAAGAAAGTCCCCAACACTGTTTCATCTTAGGGGCTCCCAAGCATCATTTTCCCCGAGAGGCACCTCCCACAAGCTGTCTCATAGCACCCAGGCTGGAAGTCTGTGGGGCAAGAGCAAAAAGCAAGGGGGTGAAAGAGGCCCTGGAATATCCTGAGACTGTAAGCTGGCTATGGGATGTTTCCTGGGCTCTGGAACATGTGTCAAAAACTGGAGGACCATTCTCAGGCCCAACCAGATGCTTGGGGTACTGTGTGTTCTGAACTGTGAGCACTCCAACTGCAGGCTGGAGAATGTGGCTTCTAATCCACACTCTTCCCCTCACAGATCATACAATGTCAGAGCAAGAAGGGGCCTAAGAGATCAACTAATCCAAATGCAGTTTCTCAAGGAGGAAACTGGGGCCCAGAGAGGTGAAGTAACTTGCCCAAAGTTACCCAGCTAGTCAGTGATTCCCTTTTCTTCTGAGGCAGAAAGAACGCAGTGTTGTCCCTTGACAAAGACAGTCCATAAAGTGCTTAGAGGTCATTAGAAGGCACCCAGAAAGGTAAGGCTGGCATTTTTCTGGAAGCTCCTGATTGCACTCACCCCTTAGGCACCACATTATTTAGCTACAAGGCCTGGAGTTGGTTTTGCTTTCATTTTCATCCCTAGGGCTGCCTGGAGGAAGGAGCTCTGACTGTTACCTGCCATCACTCCCCAGCCAGTCGGCAAAGACTGAAACCAGGGACTGCAGGGGTGACAAGGGAATCCTGTCATAATGCCGGGGGCTGGGGAGCAATGGCCAAATTCCTGGGACTTAAGCAAGGTAATTATAGCTGAGTTAAAGCTAGGACAGCAGGGCTGTGGGACCTGGGGTGGCAAAGACCAGTAAGAGGGAGTGAACCAGCAATCTAAATGATTTCAACTGCGGTGTGTTTCTAGTTCACATAAAATACCTCCTAAGTACCAAAGAGGTGTCCTCAACCTTTGACTACCTAAGCCTGACCCACCTACTCACTTTCTCCCAGTACCCACTCACGGAAGAGAACGTCACCATCGTCCTTTTGCTTCTTTTCTAATATTCCAGCACCCCTTCCGTCTCCCTTTTCTATGACATGGGTTCATCCACTCACATCCACCCCAGTCTCTTCGGCTTTCTTTAAGTCCACACACTCTTCACACCCCTTTGGTTTCTCCCATTCTCCTCGCCCTCCCTGACTTGACTCCTTAGGACAGCTCCCCGCCAGTCCCGGTTTCTCCCATTCCTCTCAGGCAAATGTTTGGGATCTCCCAGCCCTCCCGGTGCCTTTGATTTTTTTCCGCCGTCGGCCGCCTGCGTCTCAGATAAAGTGGATCCAGCCCTGGGGCTCCGGGTTTCCGCCACTGCCCGGGTGCTCCGGCCCACGCAGAGCATAGTCACGGCCGCCGTTGTTGTCCCAGAACTCGCGGCCCGTCACGCGGTAGCGCAGGGCGAAGAGCAGGGCGCCTCCAATGGGTGGCGCCGGTAGGCGGAAGGAGAAGCGGTCGGCGCGCGGCGGGTGCGGAGCCGGGCCGGCGTAGGCGGCGGGCGCCTCTCGTTGGCTCCGCCAGCCGTCTGCACTCCAGCGCACGCTCACGCGCTTCTCGTAGGCCAGGTCCACCACGCGCGCGCTCCCGGCCACGCCCAGCGGGCCCGCCTCGACGCGTTCCAGGCAGATGCGCTGAGCCTGCAAGCGGGCGGCGAAGCCGGGCTCGCTGGCCGGCTCCAGGGCGGCGCGCGCCTCCTGTAGGGAAAGGAGGAGCGGGGAAGAGGGAGCCGGGAGGGAGAGGGGCGGGGAGAGAACGGGGGCGGGGTCAGGGCGAGGCACCGGACCAATCGGAGGCCGACCCTGGCGTCGGGGCAGTCTGGGGGCAGCAGGGAGAGTGGCCTAGGGAACTCCCCAAAGGGAACCCCAAAGCGGGTGAGCGAGAGCAAGCCCAGGGTTGAGGATGGAGATGGGTGTTTCTAGGTAAATTCACTCCCACACGTCCGCCGAGGCCAAGCTGAGGAAGTCCTGGGGAAGCGGAGTGCCTCTGCCGCCTACCTGGAGGCCTCGGGCGCGGGGCTGGCACGGCGCGAAGTGGCGGAGGGCGTCCCTCTGCAGCTGGACTTGCACGTGGCGGGGCACCCGGGGCAGCTCTCCCGGGCGGAAGCGGCGCACGGCTGCCAGTTCCAGCCCCAGCGCGTCAGCGAAACGCACTCTCTTACGGGTATCGGGGCTGTGGTTGCGGAGCGCCCGGATCCCGCTGCCTCCGGCGGGCGCAGAACGAGCACGGCGCCCCCGACTCGGACCTGGAGTTCGGGATCGGGCCCCGAGACGCGTCCCTCCCTCGCCTGGCTCCTCCTCTGGCTCCTCCTCGAGGCTGGGCCGCTGGCTGAAGTAGTAGGCTCGCTCTGTCAGCGAGGCAATGAAGCTCAGGTTGCGGGGGATGTCGGTGCGGGGGTGCCGCTCGCGAGACATGGCACCCCCCCGCCCGGGCGGGACCCTCCGGTAGCGCCGGCGCGCTGCCCTCCTTTCTTAGCTCCACCCTGCCGGTGTTCGCACAGAAGCTTCAGCCACTCCTCGCAGTTGTGTGCTGTCCTTGCTGTCACCTCCAGAATCCTCCACCTTCTGCAGTTCTGCCTCGTCCCCAAGTGACTACCTTTCCTCCCACTGGCCGCGTTCTCCCAGGGTCTTTGACCATCACCTCCTGCGGGCTGTCTCCTCTGAGCCTGCGCTTAGCCGCGCTCACCCTCCGGTCCCGCGGCCCTCGCGGGGCCTGGCCCCCACCCACAGCCCTCTGACAAGTGACTCTCCATCTATCATTGATGCTGCCGCACCAGGAGGCGGGCACTCCATTCTATCGGTCCATAGTGGGACCTCTCTTTTCTTTTTTTTTTTCTTTTTAACGGCTTCAGCCTTTCCGGCACCGGATGAGTTAAGCAAGGACTAGAGAGCAACCTTTTCTTTTAGAGGAAGGTTCAAATCGCCCAGCCTGTAACTTTCTTTTCTGGGCTCAATGTTTTCTTTCCTAAACCCTAGGCTCCGGGTTTGGGAGGATGGTAGTGGTGGGTGCAAATATGGGAAAGTCACAAAAGCAAGGTAGAGCCTCAAATAGAAATTGAGACGTGGCGCTCAAATAGGTGGGTGGCCCTTTGGAAAGAGTTCTGAGCTGAGAGTTGTGGAAAGACCTAGTTTCTTGTTTCACCTCTGGTGCTGTTTAGCTTTGTGACTTTGAGCAAGGCACAGCTTCTCTGGACCTCAGTTTTCTCATCTGTAAGAAAAAGTGGATTAAAATTATGATCTCTAACCTGACTGTAAGCTCTTTGACCAGCAGAGGCTGTGTCTGATTCATGGTGAGTTTCAGCATATAGTGTGAAGTGAAAGTGAAGTCGCTCAGTAGCCTCCGACTCTTAGCAACCTCATGGACCGAGGCCTACCAGGCTCCTCCATCCATGGGATTTTCCAGGGAAGAGTACTGGAGTGGGGTGCCATTGCCTTCTCCGGCACATAGTAGGCCCTCAAATTATTGAATGAATCATCACATATCTTTCTTGGAATTGGGACTGTGGAGTTGTAATTCCAGTGAGAGCTCCAAGAAGACCACAGAGCTGCTTTTTACTCCATTTTTCCCCCCTGTATTTGTGAGAAAAAGTGAAGTTTTGTTTATTTTTTTTCTAACTCCCTACTGATCTTACATAGCACTTACAATGTGCTAGGTACCATTGTTTTACAAACACTAACTCATATAGTACATTCATCATAGGAGAGGGAGTATTATGCCTAATTTATGGATGAGAAAATTGAGGAGGGGGTAGGTCTGTTGCCCAAGGTCACATAAATTAATATTTGGAGAGCTGGAATTAGAATCTTAGCAGTTCCGTTCTAGAGTCTACTATTTTATACACTTAATTATATTAACTGGATTAAAACATTTCATGGTAATAATCAACTTTCTCCGAGCACTGAAATATGGAATGTTAGAGTAGAAATGGAATCTCTAAAGCAACAAGGGAGTTTAACTGTAAAATCACAAGTGACTAAGTCGGAAATAAACAGTGAGACATATACTGTTTTATTATACAATTTATTCCTGTTGGCATTTTAACTCCAGTATTAAGCATAGCAATGCTCTTTAGCCAGGACTCATTTTTAAAGTGATACTGAGTTTTAGTTTCTTATTTTACACATACATATGTAATCCACGGACACATTCTTTTCATATTTTAGGGTATGAAATAATGCTACAGTAATTTGTGTTATAGTCAAGCAGTTTAAAACTGTCTTCTTTGCTCTTGTACCATATATCATTGACAGAACAGGTAAGGTTCAGTGTCAGGCTACATGGCCCAAGGTTTTCTGGGAAGAGCTCTATTGTCTGAGCTGCCATTCCTTGGCTCTGTGGTGTTGGTCTGACAAGATCCTTGAGGCACACAGCCTTGGACCTGGTGTAATTTGTGTTGGTCCAACAGTCTTTGTTTATTAAGTAGCCACTGCAGTGATCTTCAAACATCTGACTGGGCCTGCTCAATAACTGGCCAGAGGCATCGAGTGATTTCTTCAGTCAACATTTACTGAAGGTCTATTAGGCCATGAGGACATAAAAGTGAGTGCGATTCAGTGCCTGCTCTCACCAAGTTTATAAATGAATGGGCAGGCAGAGAGAAATCTATTTGGATCCTGAGACTTAAAAGTTTTTATTTCAAGTAAACATCTTAGAAGAAATCAAGACTGCAAATGAAGGACTAGATTATTCCCTGAAAAAAGAGGCAGTGTTGCTGATGGCATCTGGAATGACTATCCCAAGAGCAAAGAAGAAATGCAGATGGTTGAAAGGATACAGTCATAAAGGAATGAAATAGATGTTAGGTTCAGAGTATTGGGGAGAACTGAATCTGGGTTGGTAACTGGTGTGGATTTGGCTTGGCCTCGTAAAGGGCGTGATAACAACACTGATTACCGGAAGCAAAGAGGGACCTTGAAGCACTGCAATATTAAAGTTAAGACAAAAAAAAAAACTTTCAAATCACAATTAGGTTGAGGCCTATCTTCTCAGTATGTGGCTTTGGGAAAATTACTTAACATCTCCAAGCCTCACTTTGCTCATCCATAGAATGGGAATAACACAACATAAGGACTAGTGTGAGGATAAAATATTAAGCATGTAAAGAAAGCATTTAATACCTAATAAGTCTTCAAAATGTGTTAGTTGTTACCATCGTTACAAAAAAGACCTTTCTTCTTGAGTTTGGGGCAGATGGGAATACCAAGACTTGGACTGGAGGTGGAAGCAAAGGAACCAGCAGGAAAGGAGAATTGGGTTACCTCTTTTGGTTTGATTGGAGAGTCCTCCAAATGGAGCTGTAGGAAGTGCCAGCTGCAAGAGCTGGTGGGCCCCAGCCAGAATGCCTGAGGGTGCCTTCGTGTGGATCGGCTGTGGTCAGGTGGCTTCACAACCTGTGTAAACATACTGCCTGGTATAAATAATAGGCATTCGTGTATGTGTGTATGTATATGTAATCTGAAAGGATAAACATCAGCCTTGACATTGGCAACTTGCAGGAAGGGAAGTGGGATCTTGGGAGCAGCAGAGGGACTGAGGACTGGTGTTTCTCCCCCTACACTTCTATATTATATGACTTTTTAAAAATTTTATTTATTTATTTTTTATTAGATGACTTTTTCATAGTGAGAGTAAGTTCATGCACTGGTTAGAAAGAATTAAAAAGAAAACCGATCTGATTATTTAAAAAGGAAGAAAGAAGATGAAGAAAAGTTACCTGCAGAAACTGCTTGCATATCCGAGTCTTGGCTCCCGGATGCTTGGCTAAAGCCCCAGCTCACACAGAGGCCACTGGGTTAAAGGTCCCGGAGAGAAGAGGAAGTGTCTGCTGTCCGTGTCACGTCTGCCAGCCCCATGGGGTAAGGCACCTGGCAGGCAGTTCCCACCAGCATGTGAACTGTTCCTCTTTTTCTGGGCACCCACTCCAGGCCTGGAAGAGTTCAACAAGTGCATGGAATATCAGAGATCTTCTGGAAATGCTGAATTTGCTCCAAGGTTTCATGAGGCCCAGCCGGCTTCTCTTCACAGCCTCCAGGGTCAGAAGCCCTGCCTGGCCCTCGATGCCCTCCTGGCCCTGTTCTTCCTGGCCTCCAGCGGCCCTCTCCTTTCCTGAGTTGTGGCTCTTCCCAAGCCTGCGTCCCAGCCCCGCCCCTCTCTCTGGACGCATCTCTGGGCCCCATCATCACCCGGCGCCGGGCCCTCCCTCCCGCCCCCCCTTTCTCCTCCCTCCTTCCTTCCCTCCCTTCCTCCCTCTCTCCCTCCCTCCCAGCTCCTGCACCAGGAAACGGCCGGATCCCGGCAGCGGCCTGACCCGTGAGATCCCTAACCTGGCAGGCAGGCGGGGTTGGAGCCCGGCTGAGGGTGGGGGTGAGGGAGGAGCTGGGCCTCTGGGCTGCACTGAGGGGAGCCGGGAGCAGAGATGGTGTCGGCAGGAAGCCCTTGGCCCTGGGTTTCCCGGGAGGACAGTCATTAAACATGGATTCGGCCACACAGCTGGTAGAGCGTTGGGGGCAGGGGCCTGATCCCGGGAGCTGCAACCCCAGCCCTTCTCAGCCCAGACCCTGATTCCTAGTCTTCCCCACCTAGCTCTGATCTCCCCTCCCCTTCCCAGGGCTCCAGGCTGGGCAGGAGGATGAAAGGCCCCAGCTGGGGGCTCCTTGCCACCAGTGCTGGGTCCTAAGAGCTGCCATCCAGGCTGGGTGAGTGTCCCCTTCCTTCTCTGTCCCAGGCAATCCTTTGCTTCTCCGCTTTCCCTTTGGCCCCTGTCTCCTCCCCCATCTTGTGCCTCTGCCAGTATCTTCGCATCTTGCCCCTGGGGAGGCCCCAAGCCCCTTCCTCTAGCCAAAAAGGTGTGTACTGGAGGGGGAGGGGTTGTAGGGGTGTCATAGAACTGTTGTTGTCTTGTTATGGTAAGAATCTAAAGTATTTTAGATGAAATTTACTTGTGTTATATTGAATTTGGCATATTACGAATTTAGGGGCCAGCCCCTCTAGCCATGGTGCCCCTCACCAGGGCCTAATTTTTTTGCTTTTACCCCTCTTGGCCCAGAGGTCTCTGAGATTTCCCCTCACCTCCCTGCCTGTCTCATGGGCTGGCCAAACCTGAAATACCTCCTTCCGGGCCTCTGACCATATATTTATGCCAGTCTTTTATGTTTGACTCCAACAGCCGCCCGGATGGCGACCCCAGCCTCGGCCCCAGACACACGGGCTCTAGTGGCAGACTTTGTGGGCTATAAGCTGAGGCAGAAGGGGTATGTTTGTGGAGCTGGCCCCGGGGAGGGCCCAGCAGCTGACCCACTACACCAAGCCATGCGGGCAGCTGGAGATGAGTTCGAGACCCGCTTCCGGCGCACCTTCTCCGATCTGGCAGCTCAGCTGCATGTGACCCCAGGCTCGGCCCAGCAACGCTTCACCCAGGTCTCTGATGAACTCTTCCAAGGGGGCCCCAACTGGGGCCGCCTTGTGGCCTTCTTTGTCTTTGGAGCCGCATTGTGTGCCGAGAGTGTCAACAAGGAGATGGAGCCACTTGTGGGACAAGTGCAGGAGTGGATGGTGGCCTACCTGGAGACGCGGCTGGCTGACTGGATCCACAGCAGCGGGGGCTGGGTAAGAAGCTTCTTGATTGCTGCTCTGCACATCCTTCCGAAAAGGGGGTCTCCAGGGGGAAGACGGGGGGCTCTGGCTGGACCTGGGGGGCGGCCGTGCTGGGAGTGAGGCGTGGGGGCCGAGTCTACCTGTTTGGGTGGAATCAGGTGCTCTCACTATGGGCATCTCTGAACTCTGCACTCCAGGGCTGCCATGCAGTCGTCATTCGGGGGGCTCATGGTCCAAAGCAGAGGACAGCACGAACACACGGTAGCCAGGTAGGGCCTGCACAGAAACGGCATCCAACCAGCACAAATTTTTACACCTGAGTACCTGGTCAGGGATCAGGGATGGCTGGTGGCCAGACAAGCCTTGACAAAGGATGCCAGTTCTGAGCAGAATTTTTGGCCAGGGAAATTTCAGATGGGATTCACCTGAGGTAGAGAAGGGCAAATGAGCCAGGTGCTCATGGGGGATCCGAGGGGCTGGGGGTGGGGTAGTGCTTGCAGTGGATGGAACTGGAGCTCTTCCTCTCCTCTTTTCTCCACTCTTCCCTCTCCTGATCGCCCTTTCTCCTTCTTTCTCTCCTACTTCCCTTCTCTCCCACAGGCGGAGTTCACAGCTCTATACGGGGACGGGGCCCTGGAGGAGGCGCGGCGTCTGCGGGAGGGGAACTGGGCCTCAGTGAGGACAGTGCTGACGGGGGCCGTGGCACTGGGGGCCCTGGTAACCGTAGGGGCCTTTTTCGCTAGCAAGTGAGAAAGCCCAGGGCCAGGTGGGGTGAGGTGTGGCTGGGGGGGCAGGAGAGCAGGAGCAGAGTGGAGGAATGCCCTTGGAAGAAATGGGGGAAAGAATGGGCATGGAATGGGAATTGGAAGGGGAAAGGTGGCATGTGAGGGAGCTGAGTGTGCCAAGCAGGCAGTTGAAAGAGTGAGCTGGAGACATTGTGGAATGTATTTGGAAAGTCAGGAGATGGAGTCATTCCAGGGTTGGGGGGAGGTGGGAAGGATCATACCTATAGGTATAGGCACAGGAAACTCTGCCTGGAGCTTGATTTGCTGTCCTGAGGGAGGTGGACTTGCAGAGGGGGTTGGCATCTCCATTCAACGAGTGGGATTTGGGGCATATACAGAAGGCACATCCCTTTGGAACGGGAGCTCGGGGTTCTCAGGGGCTAGGAAGAGGTGCTTTGACTGAGGGCTGCTGAGACACAAGTGTGCATGTGCACGAGCGCTCGTGTGCATGCTGGGCTGCTTGTCTAATCTGGTGGCAGTGAGATTCCTTGGAGAGAAAACATTCACTCCCTCTTGCAGTGGTGAGAACAAGGGCACCTCTCTGTCCCTCCTCCCAACCTTCCCCTCCCTCTCCCCCTTGTCTTGCTGCCTCAAGGCTGAGGGAGAAACACTGTATCCAGGCTGAGGGCTCTGGCCACTTTTTTGCAGAAAGTTGTCAGCAGGGCTTTGGAGAGAAGAGCAGTTCTATAGCTGGCCTTGTTCCTTCATCATCCCCCTTCCTTGTGCATCATACACTTGCTGCTGCCTCCTGGGCTCTGACAGAAAGGCAGGGCTGTGGAGCCTGCGGTGGGTGGGGGCTTTGGGAGCTGGAGCTGCCCCTGCCCTCCTCTCCCACTGGGGCACCTTGGTGCCTAAAGGGTTCCCTATCTCTGGGACCTTCTGTATCCAAACTTAAACTCTAAATTGGGGCTCTTACTAATTTTCCTTTTGAGTGTGTGACGTAAATGCAGACCTGGAATACAGTCTGGTCCTGCACTGTGTCTCGGAAAGACTGTGGATGCCTTGAGAGGAACATTCCAGCTCTGAACCCCGTGTGAGGGTGACGTGTAAACTCTGTGGCTGGCCTGGTCCATGTGGTGGGCATTGGTGCTGCTTCATTAAGGGCCAGGTGTCTGGGTTCCAGAGTACCTCCCATGACCTAGAAGCATTGATATTTTCTTGGAAGCCACACTGTTTGCCATGGGTGTTACTTGTCTGTACCTCAGAGTCTGAGGATGTTAACTTTAGAGCGCACAGTCCTCTAGAATAGATTCAGATGACAGCTTTTTCTTTTGAGAAAGACATGATTGATTTCACTCCAGATGCATGTCCTGAGCCAGACCTCACTGCTGCACTTTCCAAGGTGCTAAAATTGCTGCTTTCCAATGCTGACTTCTTCTGACACAGTGCTCTAGAACCCTTCCCTTGATCCTGAGCACTGACCTGCTTAGCTAGACCATGGTTGACTCTTGGAGACTTTCACTGGTCCTAGAATGTGGCGACGTAGTTGTACTCACGAGAACGTGGGACCAAAATTGGCCTCAGGTGTTTAGCTCAGACTTTTGCTTTTGAGGAGGGCTGCACTTTTTAATGATATTTATAGGGGAGGTGGTGGACTGCATGGGCCACTTGGTCTGTTGTGAGTATGCTGGTACCAGGCACTCAGAGCTGGTCTGTGGCAGGCAGTTTTGGGGTATGTTGGGGGGGGGGGTCTCTGACTTGCTCAGGACAAACTAGGCCATTGGTTTTCCACCTGCTTGGCAGGATCCTGAAGTTTCCTAGGGGTTGCCTCAGGAGTCCTTGGGGGAGACGAAGCGGGGGTGCTGAGCAGGCTAGGCGACTTGCCCTCAAACAGAACAGCTCCCCTGTAGCTGTCTTACATATCGGGGTTCAGGGTAAGATTTTTTTTGCATTAAGGGGTTTGCTGCTGAAAAAAGAAAGTTGGAAAACCACTGACTAGACCCATCAGCTCCAAATGGGAGCCTGTGCTCCCCCAGGTTTGGGGCAGACTCTTCCCTCGCCCCTCTACCACAGAACGTCTACCCCTCGTAGTTTTCCTGGAACCTGTAGCAAACAGGGGAGGCAGGGACCATGGTCAGTTACCAAGAAGCCCTGCTCGGAGGCCTTCACACCTGGGTTGAAGGAGAGGCTGTTTTCTGAAAGGGAAAAGGGCGTGGGCTGATTTCCAGAGGTATAGCTTGGATGGGACCACGGAGGGCAGTTTTGACATGTCCTGCCCTTCTTAGCCTGAGAGGGAATGGAAACCCCAGAGACTTCTGTCAGGGAAAACTAGAGACTCTCTTTTAGAGCCATATAGTTCCTTGGGATTAGCTCTTGGCCAAGATGGCTGAGTATGGCTCCCAATTTTTAAATCCATTTCATTTTTTAAAAAGTGAGGGAAATAAATCTTATTGCCATTTTTCAGAGAATAAATAGGTGGAGAGGCTGTTTCTTGCTCTCCAGAGCCCAAAGGGACAAATATGGACTTTGCTTAGGCCAAGGAAGCAGCAGAAGTAGGGCAACTAGGTCCTGCACTTATTAACCCCACTCCCCACTTATCCTGGGGCATACACTATTTTACTTTTTTAAAATCATAAAGCGGCGGGAGAACAGATTTGGTTAGTTTAGAAGAGAAGAAAAGCTCTATAAATATAAATATATATTCCTGTATTTTTATTTAATAATTTATAAATACCAAGTTCATTTGACTTTTATTTTTGTGTAATATGTAATGGTCGTATTAAATAAATAAATAAATAAAGCCCAGAAGTTTAATGAGAAGGACTGAGCAGGGTTTGTGACTTCTATACTGTATAGCCTGCGGTCAGGACATTTCTTGATCTAATCATTTCATCATGACCTTGTTAAGGCCAAGAATTAGATTAATAGGGCTTTGGGAAAATTGAGATAAAAAAATTAAAAAAAAAAAGAAATTCCCTGGCAGTCCAGTGGTTAGTACTCCACACTTTCACTGCCTAAGTGCCTGAATTCTGTCCCAGGACAGGAAACTCAGATCCTGAAAGCTGGGCCAAAAAAAATCAGTTGTTCCTCCACCCCCCTATCTCAGCCAAATGCTAAAGCCAAGAACTGCATCCGTGCCAACCCAAGCCTTTGAGAGGGTGTGTGTATATGGTGCTTTGGGATAGCCACAACAAAACCCAAAATGAAACAAAGAAAACCTATCAAAAATCTTTATGATGGAATCAAGTCCCCAGTTGTGGTTTAGCCTCTGATCAGAAGTGTGTGATGATGAACATTTCTCAATATCCTGCTATCTACTTCAGACTTAAGTCTGGCAAAAATGGAGCCCTTGTTTACTTTCCTGGTCCCCTGAGATATTTGGTTTCAGCCATTTTAATGTGAAACACTAAACTGGATGGGATCTATAAAATTGTTTAGCCCATCCCTCTGTACTTCTAGTCTAGGACCATATCAAAGTTATGTCTGACAAGAATAGTATCTTAATTTGAAATTACAAGTGGGAGTTTCTAGTCTTTCTATAATCCAATACAATAACATGGTATTTGGTTTATGTGTTAAATTGCAGTGAGAAATACACTGCTTAGAGGAATGTACTGTTGCATTTCTATTCTCTCTATATAGAAAAATCTATAGGACAAGCCATTAAAATCAGAGTGGCTTAGTGAGCATGGCTTTTGGGAAAAGGGAATTAGATGGTCTTAACAGTTCCTATCACCAGGCTATATTAGCTAGTGGATTTATTCCTACTGTGGTTTGATTGGTTTGTAATTTGCCTAATTCCAAAAAGCATTTGTAATATCTTACTATAATACAAAAGAAAAAACAATAGGAAAATGTAGATTTTTAAAGTAAGGGTAAAGGGAAAATTGATATAGTACAATAAAATGACAGCAAAAGGACAATTAACACAGAAAAGCATTCTCTAAGCAGTATTGCCAAATACTAAAGGTAGGCTGTGAATTCAACTGAGCTTCTTGGCAGCTAAGGAAAATTGGTGAACAATGAGATTCACATCCCTTTTAGGATTTATAAAACTTTTCAGTTCCTTAAGGTAGCAAAAAGTTTTGTGGCTCTTCTGAGAAGACACTGGGTGCCATTAGGAACATCACCATCTATAGCACCTGATAGCAATATGAGGTTGAGTTTTATACTACCGTTTCTTGCAGAAACACCAAAGGAGGATTCAGTAGGTCCTAAGCTTGTTTTATCAGAATCATCACAATTTAGCCCAAATATGCTCTCTGATGCCATAGTTGAAAATAGGGCTAAATTTCAGGCTATCTAAATGGACAGATGGGTTGTTTATTCTTCACACGGTTCTCTGTGAATGTTATTTCTCCAAATGACACTTCTGATGAAAATTGGGCAACATTTAATTGTACTTTCTAGCAAATGGATGGATTATAGATAGTCTGTTTTTAGTTGAGAGCAGATCCTTTGAAAACTTTAAAAGCTGTCTTAAATGTGGATACAGGTGAGATATAAATAACAATATTTTAAAAAATCAACCAAAAAAGATAATGGAATGATATAGTTTTTTATTAATTCAATCATTCACTCAGCAAACACTCAAGCATCCTCTGTGTGCTGAGGACAGTTTTAGGCACTGAGCTAGAGAAGTGAACAAATAGGCACAAATTTCTGCCTTCATGTTACTTGTATTCTAGTAATGGAAACAAACAAAGCTAAATAACTACCTACCTACCTACATAAATAAATTTCACAGCATTAATTAACATAACATTTCATGTTAGGGGCAAATGCTATGGAGAAAAATAAAATATCTCATTAGGGTAGGATTGGGAAGGTGTATGTATAGATTTCAATGATAAATAGAATGATCAGAAAAGTCCTCATTTCTAACATAACTTCTGAATAAAGTCATGAAAAATGAAACTGGAAAAATATTTTTATTGACATGGAAGAATGCTTCTGTATCTTATTGTAAAAAAGAACATAGAGTAGAAAACAATATATACAGTATGATCCCATTTTGCTGAAAAAATATGTATACACACACATACATACATATACCTCTACATGTATGTGTGTATTGAAAGTTTGAGAAAGGGCATATGCCAAAATATCATTAGTGATTATCTCTGGATGGTGGATTTTATGGGTAATTTTATTTTATTTTTTTGCTATCAGTATTTTTGGAAGTTTTGATAAGGAACACATTTTATAAGGTACAGCATATTAAAACAAGGTTTTCAAGGCACAAAGTCTTCTAAAAGTTAACCAAGCAGAATGGAGATTAAGCAGCCCAACAGAGGCTCCTTCTCACTACTGGCAACTCCACTTCCCCTCAAGGTTGGACCTAGGGAGTTAAAGTAGGCCAGGGCAGACTCTGAATTGGAAAATAATTGGAATGGACTCAAAACAGAGGTAAGTAAATGATCAAGGCTCCAAGGTTCTGTGTCAACACTGTCCAATAGAAAT